GGTTTTGGGGTATGGAGTTCCTGTGGTTTTGGGGTTCCTGTCGTTTTGGGGGTTGGGGTGCCCAATGTTCCAGGGGTTTGGGGTTTCAGGCTTTGGGGTTCCCCTGGTTCTGAGGTTTCAGGGTTTGGGATTTCGGGGTTCCTGTGGTTTGAGGGTTTGGGATTTTGGGGTTCCTGTGCTTTGGGGGTTTGGGATTTCGGGGTTCCTGTGCTTTGGGGTTTGGGGTTTGGGGGTTCCTGTGGTTCCGGGGTTTGGGGTTTGGGGGTTCCTGTGGTTTGGGGTTTGGGGTTTCGGGGTTCCTGTGCTTTGGGGTTTGGGGTTTGGGGTTTCGGTGTTCCTGTGGTTTGGGGTTTCGGGGTTCCTGTGCTTTGGGGTTTGGGATTTCGGGGTTCCTGTGCTTTGGGGTTTGGGGTTTCGGGGTTCCTGTGCTTTGGGGTTTCGGGGTTCCTGTGGTTCCGGGGTTTGGGGTTTGGGGGTTCCTGTGCTTTGGGGTTTGGGGTTTGGGGGTTCCTGTGGTTTGGGGTTTGGGGTTTGGGGGTTCCTGTGGTTTTGGGGTTCGGGGTTTCGGGGTTCCTGTGCTTTGGGGGTTTGGGATTTCGGGGTTCCTGTGCTTTGGGGTTTCGGGGTTCCTGTGGTTCCGGGGTTCCTGCGCCCCGTGCCGACGCTCTCTCCGCAGGGGGGCTGCTGGTGGTGCTGCCGCGGGCGCAGGCCGCGCGTTTCTGCGCCGAGCTGAAGGCGCCGGGCCGCGGGCCGGGCCTGCAGGCCTGGATCGTCGGCGTGGTGGAGAAGGGGCCCCGCGGCGCCCGAGTCATCGACAAACCCCGGCTGATCGAGGTGCCGCCCCGCGGGGCCCCCGAGAGCCCCGGGGAGCCGCCCCCGGAGCCGCCCCGGGGCCCCTGCTAGGGGAGAGACCCCCCGAGACGGCTCCCGCACGAGGGACCCCAAAGAGACGCACGAGGGACCCCAAAGAGACGCACGAGGGACCCCAAAGAGACGCACGAGGGACCCCAAAGAGACGCACGAGGGAACCCCAAAGACAGGCACGAGGGAACCCCAAAGAGAGCCCCAAAACCAGGGCAGGACCGCCCGACAGAGCCATGCCGAGACCACGGCTAGGGGATCCCAAAAAAACCCAAAAAAAACCCAAAATTGGGGCAGATACCCCTAACAGAGCCACGCCGAGACCACGGCTAGGGGATCCCAAAAAAACACCAAAAAAACCCAAAAAAACCCCAAAATTGGGGCAGGACCACCTGACAGAGCCACGCCGAGACCCCTGCTAGGGGATCCCAAAAAAATCCCAAAGAAAACCCCAAAATTGGGGCAGATCCCCCCGACAGAGCCACGCCGAGACCCCTGCTAGGGGATCCCAAAACAACCCAAAGAAACCCCCAAAAATCCCCAAAATTGCGGCAGAACCCCCTGACAGAGCCACATGGAGACCACAGCTGGGGATCCCAAAAAAACCCCAAAATTGGGGCAGAACCGCCCGACAGAGCCACGCCGAGCCCCCTGCTAGGGGACCCCAAAAACCCCCCCCAAAAATCCCCGGGGCTCGCTGTGGCCAAAATCCCCAAAAGTCAAAAGAAATCCTAAAAAAAAATCCCGTCAAAACTGCCCCCCAAAAAATCCAAAGTCCCCCCAAATTCGGTCAAACCCCCCCAAATCTCTGCCCAACCCCCCCAGCGCTGCAGGGGACACCCCCAAAATCCTGACCCAGCTCTGCACAACGAGGG